AGGGGGCTTGAGCGCTCATACCAGTAGCGCTGCTGCCCGGCAAGCAAGTGCCCAAATGCCTCCCTCCCACGCGGGCACTTTCCTATATGGAATGGGAACTGGCGCTGCCTCCAGCAGCACCTACCACCACCACCTCGCGACCGTGCTCGCCCGGGCTCGTCCTTCCAGCGGGCTTGAGCGCTCCCAGCAAGCAAGTGCCCAAATGCCTCCCTCCCAGGCGGGCACTTTCCTATATTGGAAAGTGCTTGCCCAGACGGCAGCCCGGGCCTAGCGATCGTGTGCCCAGTAGCTTCACATTGGGCCAAAGTGTCCAGGCGATAGCGGCCTGGGACCGAAGCAGTTAGGCTCGCCCAACTGTATGACATGGGTTGTGTCACTCGCTGCATCCAGATTGGCCGGAAGGCCTGCTTCCACACTGAGCCCAGAAGAGCCTGGAAGGCTCACGATGTCGCAGTTGCATAGTGTGTAGGGCCCCGCAACCAATTCACGGCTGCTAACTGTCTGGGGCCCCAAAGGCCTAAAAAATGTGAAAATCTAGGCCACCAGGGAAAATAGGCCTGCCTTCACTTAGGGCAGGCACCATGCATGCAGCAAGGGCCCTTAATCTGCCTGCCAAGGACTAAAATTCTCTCACTTAGGATAATTATAGCAGAATTGCTCATCAATGCTATCGTCCGAGTGTGAGAATCCACTCATTCGATAGCATGATGGCACCGGGTGAGCGTCCCCATGCCTAACTGCAGGTCGGTCACCTGGTTCATTCAAGAAGATAATACTCAAATCCAGTGTAGGTAGAGGTCTTACATCTCGCAGACATAACCACATTGCAGGTGCGGAGTAACCCACACTACAGACCTTCTACCTCAGAACTGCTTAGTCTGGTCGAGAGTCTACACTTCCCTTTCTTAAATACTTGCCGATTCTACCTTGATCCGGAGAACTCGTCCCCTGCAGGCGGTTTCCGCCTGACCTGCTCAACATGTTCTCCGAAACTAGGCACAAAGTCAACAATGCCGAATCGAAATTTTGAAAAAATGAAAAATGATATTTGAAATGTTGAAAACCAAGGAGATATTGCAGCGCGTTGATGTTGGAGGAGTAGGTCAGACCTCTGGATGGCATATAGCCTGTGGGGCCGATTAGCGTACTTGTTCTCAGGAGCCGTACGCAGTCCTTTGTCGTGATTTTTCCGTCTGCGGTCTTGCGTACGCAGTCCACAGCTTGTCTCATCGCAGTCCGAAATCTCATACGCTTATAGTCTGATGTCCTGGCATGCTGTATCCAGAAAACGTGTGGAAAATCAAACCTGGTATCCTGAATGAGGCCGAGTTGCCAGCATGACGCCTCAAGCCTGACAATCCACCCAAATCAAGGTACCCCCAAAAACAGGCCAAATTTTCCAATTCTCGGTAACAGGGGCTTACCCTAGCTGCCAATTCTGACCAGACAATTTGTTGATTACCAACAGCATTTGTTTAATTAGTAATTAGTAATTACCTGTTTTTCGCTGACGAATTGTGGCCAGCCAACATTAATGTAGATGTCAGTACCTGCTGCTCATTATCGCCCTCGCAAAGTCGTAAATCGCAGCTCTTCCTGAGCTGCTCCTGATACCCAATCCTGTCTCTGAGCGTTTGTACGACTGCCTTCTTCTCCCGAATACAGCGTACGGTCATTATAGCTGTGTATCTAGACTGAAAGATGCCTCAAATGCAGCAGCTATAATGACCGTAGGTTGTATTCGGGGGAAGAAGGTAGGGCCTTCCAGGTTTGACTCCAATCCACCAAGTAAGGTGCGGCAACGGCTTGCAGTATCGTAGATGAACTTTTCATGAACCTGGCGTGAGAACCTGGCCCGAGTTCACGCCAGGTTTGGGCTAACTGCACCACAGCAGATGGAAGAGAAACCAACATGTTGCACCTGGATTGTCAAAAGCATTAGAGTTGTGTTCCTGATCAATCCTCTGCCTGTAGCTAACACTTAACCTGATGCCCACACAGCCTACCTCAGTCAAAAGGAGGCAGGAGGGACCCAAGAATGAAAAGTTGCATCGAAGGGGTTGAAAGGGTTGCTTTTTTTTTTTTTTTTTTTTTTTTTAACCCAGCGACCATGCTAGGGGGAGTGATATGAGCATTCCCTCCTAGGGCTGGTATTAACCTGTCTCTTATACACATCTAGATGTGTATAAGAGACAGGAGACAGAGAGACAGAGACAGAGACAGAGAGACAGAGAGACAGACAGAGACAGAGACACAGAGAGACAGAGAGAGAGAGACAGAGAGAGAGAGAGACAGAGAGAGAGAGAGAGAGAGAGAGAGAGAGAGAGAGAGAGAGAGAGAGAGAGAGAGAGAGAGAGAGAGAGAGAGAGAGAGAGAGAGAGAGAGAGAGAGAGAGAGGCAAAGTGGGTTTAGCAGATTTTGTTTGAGACCCATAAAATGTAGAAAGTAAATTTCAGTTTTGTCACTTTTGTGTAGTTGAAAAGTAATCTCAAGTTGAACTAAAGGCAAGGTCATGGGGCAGTTTTTCGAACTTTTTCCAGATGACAACTTTGCAGGCGATTTGCTCATGTCACACAATACTCAATACGTGACTACACCCAGTATGCACAGATGTGGTGCACCATGCACGCTCCATTCACACACACACACACACACACACACACACACACACCTGTCTCTTATACACATCTAGATGTGTATAAGAGACAGGGGGGAGTGATATGAGCATTCCCTCCTAGGGCTGGTATTAACTGGAGGCCGTCTTTTTTTTTTTTTTTTTTTTTTAACCGATCAGATATTAAACTGATCAGAACGGATTCTACACTTGATGTCAGCCAAAAAGCCGAGAAAAGTATAGGAAGCCCACAGTCATATTTCCTTCGGAGGGAGGGTTACTTCTCGTTTTCAAGGGTGTACAAACTCTGTGCTGTATTTTGAATTGGCTATCGCTCACTGCAGGTTGTCGTGTTCGGAGCCCTCTATTACAAGTCTTACGGGAACTTCAAGAGGAGGCCTTCTGAGCTGAACACTAGGCAAGAGCCAGCACAACTTGATGTATCATTTGATGTAGAGAACTTCAAGAAGCGATCTTCGGAGGTGAATGCGAGGAAGGAGCCATTGAAACTCGATGTAACATTCGATATAGAGATGGGAAAGGACAGTGATGAAGCGGACACTGACAGGGAGCAGCTGAGGGGACGTAACTTATCATCGTCTCCTGGCATTGTCAGCATTCCGTCACCAGCTCAGTCCTGAGCTATGATTTATGTCCACCACCCAGGAGGCGGCAAAACTCAATGTAACGCTTGATGTAGAGACGGGTAAGGGTCATGATGAAGAGGACACCGATGGGGAGCAGCCAATCATCATCACCAAACATTCTCGGCTTTGCCAACGAAGCATCCCTGAGCTATGATTTACGTCTCTTTGAACCTGAGCAGCACGGTTTTGGTTTTATACAAGCATGGGCAACAATCATAGACACTATCACAGCCAATACCCAGGATGCCTGGAGACAGATGCAATCTGAGCTACGGAAAGAACCTGAAGTGGCCAGAAAA